CATATTTTTTTCTGATTTAGTCATGTTGCTCTTTGTTCTCTTGTTTATTTGGAAGATCTGCTGTTCTTTAATTCATTAATTGCTACTTCCCCCCACCCCCCAATATTCAGAAGCCAACTATTTTTCCCATTCGGTGCTCTGTTTCACCACTGCCCTCTCTCCTTCCCCTTGATATGATGAGAAACATATGGTACTAATGTCATCACTCTGTCCTGTCATTTTCCCACTCCCTGCCCCCCCAAAAATGAGAGCTTTGAAATGTAGCCACATGCCCCCTCTGGTCTGTTTTGGGGACTCTTAGATTCTGCTGGCATGACCTAGCGCCCTCTGTTCCAGACTGATACTAAAATTCCTATTGCAGCATTTACTTAACTTTATGTGACACATTCTCCGAGGATGTCTGCCATTCTGCATGCAAGGGGATAGTCCATGGACTGCAGGGTCCACTATACACTACTGTTTTTTTTCCCTCTTTGTCACCCTCTATCTTGAGGTTGTGGTTCTGATTCATCTGTGTCTGGTCAGAGTTCTTTTTCAAGCATATATGATATGTTCTCAAAATGTTTGCACAGCCACAAATATTTCACTTGAGTGTAAGGGGCAGTTTGACTGGGAGCAGCACCCTTGGGTTGCAGTGCTTTTCTCTCAGGTATCTGTAGCTGTTTTCCCAGGCCCTGGGGTTGCAGGTGAGAAGCCCAGGCTGTTCTGGCTGAAAGCTTTTAAGATCCTCTCTTTGACCTTGAAGTTTAGAAATTCTCCCAGAACATGGCTAAGTATGTGTTTCTGTTCATCAACCCTACCTAGAACTTGTGCCTTTCCTTCCACAGACTCAGCCCTTTCATTTTCATGTGTAATGATTGTCTCTCCTGCTTTTCAGATTCCTGTTACTTGCTGTTGTGTCTCCTAGGTCTGTCTTCTGAGTCCTCTGCCTTTTCTCTTGATCATTTTGCTCTGTGATGTGAGATATTTTTTTCACTGTTTCCTTCAGGCCAATCCTCAACAGCGATCCTGCATGTCTTCAATTCATTTACTGAATTTTAAATCTGGGAAATCACATTATTCAGTCCCTTCCTTGAGATTCAAGTTTATTGATTATTTTAAGTCATCATCTATTTCTTCTGGTGGCTCTACCTCCTTAGGGACGTGTCTGATTGTTCTTTTTATCTCTGACTGCTGGGCCCCCTTATGTGTACTGTCATTTTTCTGTTTTTGCCCGCTGGGGAAGAATGGCCGCTGACTGTCATGAGTGGCAGGTGGACTGTCATGAGTGGCAGGTGACTCTTAGAGTGATGAAAGGGGCAGTAGCTTTGATTCCCAAGGACTGGTTATGTGACAGACTTTTTCTTCCCCCTCCTTGTCCTGCTGGCTCTGTCTCAGAGGTAGAGAAGCCTCAACTCCTCTGTTTAGCTTTTTCTTGCTTCAAGGGGCCTAGAGGAAAGTTTGAGGGGTCAGGCTTGCCTGAAGTTGCACTCTGACGTCAATGCAGAAATAGTCACGAGGCTGTGAAGGAATTGTAAAGGGCACGGGAGACATGATATCACATATTTTTACTTTTGCCACATCCCATAAGAACATGCACATTATATTATTTCTTCCTCAGTTGTACCCCCAGCATTGAAAACAGTCCTTGTTAGCACACAGTAGGTTCTCATTAAATGTTTTTTGAATGAATAATTGGGCATCCGCGTGAGGCACGGTAGAAGCCCTTGAGCAGATGGAAAGCACTAACTAGGAAAAATCTCATCCTATCACAGGTGGGCTAAGGATGGCGTGAAGAGGTTCCCCCCAGCCCTGCTCACAGCATACATTGTGAGTTTGGATGGATGCTTATTTCATTAGCCAAGGATTAAAAAAAAAAAATCACATAGGAATCAAGATGGCCACACATGGACAGGAACAGATGTGGCATTTCTCAGAGCAACATCTGCCGGCTCCAGAGCTGCGGTGTGGGTGGGGCGGGGCGGAGGTGGGGGGGAAGCTGTGCCATCAACTGCACGGGTGCCATCTGTGTGAAGGGAGCTCTTGTGGGGCCAGAGAAGCATATTATGTATGCTGTGGGGCTTTATATAATCTCCAGGAAGGACTTAACTGTTCACATCCTTCATGCGGTGTAAGGCTCTAGGTTCTTCCTGGTTCTCAAGCCAGACTGGCTGGACACAGACTCTTGGGGTGAAGTGGGGGCTGAGCTTGAGTTAATGCTCAGGAGTGCCTGGATGCCATCTCTGTCTCTAGCTCTGAGCCTTCCAGAGGGTCCTTTTGTCCGGAAAAAGGATACTAGGACTTGCATACACCCTGAACAAGAAGTGGGATACTTAGTAGAGAGGAAGCATGGTATCTTCGTGGATGCTGTCATTCCCTTTTGTACTTCTGCTGTTTATTTCTCACTGTTATTAAAGCTGTCTCTCAGATCTTGTTATCATAGGATCCTGATATCATATCCTGTATATAAACAGAGGAAAGAGAAGAAAGATAGCATGTTGAGAAAGTAGAGAAATGAGTTCCATGGGCATCTGTGGTTCCCGTGAAAGGTAGCCCAGGTGTTGATGTCAGCTCTGGCCTCAGACCCTTTCATACCAGGAAGAAAAGAAGGACAGCTATTTCAGGCAGCTGCCAAGTCCTGTAGCCACCTGCCGGGGCTCCAGGCGACATGGTCTCATTTTGAAAGGCTAAAAGTCACAGCTTTGTCCTACTAATACAAAGTGGCCCTTTCTGCCCTTCCTAGGGCTATGGAAGAAAAAAACTTCACACACATCTCAGACCCCAGAACATTTCCTCCTCTAAAAGCTGGGAATTTAACAAGGTCAATCCAAACTGAAGTCACAAAGTATTGGGGGTGAAAATGTGTCTATGCCTGGCTAATCTAAAGAAATGCTTTAAAGAAAAAAAATATCAAAAATTTTCTGTGAAAAATCTGGAAAGTCACATCCTTGAGGAACCTCTGGGATGCCCTCTAATTCTTCTGGAGTTTGCGGATGTTCTGCTTCTTCCCCTCCAGCCATTTCTTGGGCTGACGTGCAGCTTGACCTCCCACCAGCATTCACTGCAACCCTGGATCCCGTTCCTTCTCCCTTACCTGAGGCTCTCTCCCATGTACCTGGCAGTCTCTGGTCCCTCTCCATGTCATGCATCTAGTTGGCTGTGCCACTGGCAGGGAGCTTTTTGTGGCAGGGTCCTGCCCATTTTTGGAGTTTGTGCTGTGGCCCATTCGGGCTGTTCTAACATAGGCCATGGACCAGGTGGCTTATCACTAACAGAACCTGATTCCTCACCATACTGCAGGCTGGAAGTCTGAGGTCAGGGTGCTGGTGTGGCCGGATTCTAGTGAGGGCCCACTTCTCTGGGGATTGTGTCCTCACATGAAAGAGAAGACCGGCTAGCTGTCTAGTCTCTTCTGACAAGGGCACTAACCCAAGGGCTCCACTCTCATGACCTGGTCAACTCCCTGAGGCCCCAGCTCCTCATATGTCCCCTTGGAAATTAGAGTTTCAACATATGAATTTGGGGGAACACAGACCTTCAGTCCACAGCACTTTTTATACCCTATGATGAAGTAGCACATTGGGAATGGCCAGCTGTGGGGGTAGCCTCGAAGGTTGATCTACATGCAGCCTTTCTCCAAATGCGTGTGACTGTCCTTATGCCATGTGGATTGTGTGTTTCAGCTGAAAATTTCTTCCTTAGCGATTGCAGGCATCATGTACACCAGGGCACTTTTTTTTTTTTTTTTTTTTTTTGAGCTGGAGTCTCACTCGGTTGCCCAGACTGGAGTGCAGTGGCTGCTCCCGGCCACCACAGCCTCGCCTGCTGGGCTCCGGCGATCCTTCCGCCTCAGCCTTCCGAGTAGCCGGAATTACAGGCATGCGCTACCACGCCCGGCTGATTTTTTGATTTATTGTAGAGATGAGGTCTCGCTGCCCAGGCGGGTCGCGAACCCGCGGGTTCAGGCAGTCCACTCACCTCAGACCAGGGCATTTTAATAGTGCAGTGACTGATAACTGAGAATTTCTTAAGAAAAAGTACACAGCCTTGCTTATATGTATGCTTCCTTTAGAAATGTTGAGATAGGCTGGACATGGTGGCTCATGCCTGGAATCCCAGCACTCTGAGAGGCTAAAGGAGGAGGAATTGCTTGAGTCCAGGAGATCCAGACCAGCCTGGGCAACACATCAAGATCCTGTCTCCATAAAAAATTAAAAAATTAGCCAGGCATGGTGGCGTGTGCCTGTAGTCCAAGCTACTTATGAGCCTGAGGTGGAAGGATCGCCTGAACCCAGGAAGTCAAGGCTGGGGGAGGTATGATCGTGCCACTGCACTCCAGCCTGGGCAACAGAGTGAGATCCCTGACTCAGAAAACTCCACACCTTGTTGTTTTTCATATCTATTTCTCCATCCTTGTTTGTGTGTTTTCATATGCATACACAACACACACATACACACACACACACACACGTATATATTTTTACAAGTTGGATTATACTACTTTATTAGACTGTATTTCTCACTTAACAGTATATTATAAAAAACATCTTCCCAGTGGTATTGCAGAACACACAATGAAGGCAGATGTGGCAACTCTGGTAAACACATCATTCTTTTTTTTTTTTTTTAAGTCTAGAGAGAATATATAAGATTCTTGCATTTGAAAGGCACAAGTTCCTAATATGACCTGGAAAAGCAGGAACTTCTGCTGAACATTCTATTTCATAGAAATATTTAAAGATGGATGAGAATGGGGTTTAATCTTGGGGCTAGATGACCCTGTGACCAGGCTTTATCTGTTGTCTGTGCTGTCCGGCCCAGGTAAATGGGCTTCATGGAACAGGGGCGACTCCATTGCCATTCCTTGAGGGCGGGAACCCTGTGTGTCTTGCTCACTGCTGTATCCCCAGCACCCAGCACCATATCTGATGTTTGCATGTCTGTTGAATGACTGGCGTTGTGGCTGCTCCTATAGCAACTGAGAGTTACCTGGGCCCTGATGGTCTTGCTGTCTCTTACAGGAGGATCGGAGTCCAGGCGCCTGGTGCGGGGCCTCCAAGGCAGAAGTATCAGCATGAAGGCACCTGCCCCTTCCCGAGCCAAGCAGGGGCCCTTCAAGACCATGCCCCTCCGGTGGTCCTTTGGGCCCAGGGAGAAGCCACCTGGTACATCCGTCGAGTTGGTAGAATACTTAGAGTCCAGACGAAGACCTCGATCCACCAGCCAGTCCATTGTGCCTCTATTGACAGGGGCTACTGGTGAGGACCAGAAGTCAGCATCACCAAGGTCCGGCATCACCCTTTCTGCTAAAGGTGAAGAGAGCGGGCGAGCTGGCGAAAGAGGGCAAGCTGGGATGCCCTGTCCCTCAGGCCATCCCAACCACTCTCCGAGCCCTGGACACTCAGATGGTCTAAGCACAGCAAGGAAACTAAAGGAAAACGCAAGTCAGGACATCAGGCTGCCCAGAAAGTTTGACCTGCCCCTCACTGTGATGCCCTCAGTGGGGAATGAGAAGCCAGCTCGACCAGAGAGCCAGAAGGCCATGAACTGGAAGGGGAATGGCCAGGTGGGAAGCAAGAGCAGCCCACCCTCCCCCTCTACAGGATTGTCTAGAAACAGTAAGGACAGTCACCGAGGTACCCCTGACATAGACAGACCCCCTCAGGGGACACTCACCCTTCTGAGGTCTATGTTTCGGAAGAAGGAGAACAGGGGGAGTGACAGGGCAGAGGCCTCTTCCCAGTTGCCTCCAGTGCCTCTGGTCAGTGGCAGGCTGAGTCCTGCCATGGACGAGCAGGCTCGAGGCTCATCTCCCTCCCTCCGGATCCGAGAAAGCCTGGCCAGGGGCCTGGGCAGCCGGCTCGAGAGGGATGTCTGGTCAGCCCCCAGCTCTCTCCGCCTCCCTCGCAAAGCCAGCAGGCTGCCGAGAGGTAGTGCCCTTGGCACATCACAGAGGAGTGCTCCAGGAGAGCAGACTTCTTATGGCACCTTGCAGAGGGTAAAATACCACACTCTTTCTTTAGGCCGAAAGAAAACCTTGCCAGAGTCCAGCTTTTGATGGCGCATGTCAGTATTGTGTGAAGCTGGCATTCTTGGGACTTTGTACTGAACAGGTGTAGGCCGCCTGTGTGGAGAGCAGGTTTTTGGGAAGCCAGTTGTCTTGTGATCCTTGAAAATAATTTTTGTTTGTTTGTTTCCATGTCTAGACAATGTCCAAATAACCCAGTTCCAAAATGCCTTCCTGTATCGTTGGGTGCTTTGATACAGTCTGGCCACTAAAGGGTGCTGTTGGGTCAGTATTACCATTTTCAGGGCAAGAACTGATACTAAAGAGATTTGGGGGTGGGCAAACTTTAGAGCATGGCTCTATAGGTGAGCCTGGTTAATGAGACTCTTCATTGTCGTGTCAGATATTGTCATTGGATTCTCCTTTTTCTTTATTTTTTTAAAAAAACAGTAGACTTAAAGGAAAATCTTTTCCTTTTAAAGCTTCTCTGGGATAAGCATTAAAGATGCCAAAAAAAGAAAAAACGTGGTAGTGATGGTAAGGCAAGATTCCAGAAGAGAGAGATGGGAGAGAAGTGACTGAGATTTTAGGTGAATATTTAATATAGAACAAAATAATTGTATTGAAGTTTTTCAAGGTATTTTAAAAAGATAACTATTTTGATACTGGAAAAAATAAAGTTCTTTTTTAATTTAAATATGAGATCTATGTACAATTTTAATAAAATCCCATCCGTGAAACATGCAAATGGCTGTCTGAATTATTCAAGCTTGATAGATAACCTTGTTTCATTCCTGCTGTGTAAACTTGGCTCATGGCTGTTGCTATCAGAAAGCAGTTATTTGAGTTCTTTCTGCAATCTCAAAGTGCTCTTTAATTAACTGCCTTGCTGTTTTCTAAAGGAGTATAAGTCTTCTCAGTCCTCTCTCTGGAAGGCTTGTACTGGCGAGGATCTTAGAATCTGCATCTGCCTGGACAGACTGTTAGTTGACTATCCCTGTTTCCTGAAACTTAGCATACTCTTCAGTATCTGTTCTTACACATATCCTGTCATTTCTTACTTGAAAGCTGATAAGCCTGACCCCAGGCCTGGGGCTTAACAGTTGAGGTCACTAGCAAGTCTGCACTTAAACAGTTCATTTTCTACAAATACTTCCTTTTTGATGGGAATCATTTGTTCAAGACACCTGATTCTAGGAATGTGTAGTATGACTCATTGGCATCTATCTGCAACTTTTTTTTTTCTTAAAAAGGAAGAATGGAGTCTTTCTTTTATCCCAGTGGAAAAGACTGCTTACCTTAGATCTGAGAAACAGAAGATAGAAAGAACTGAGACCATAAAAAGAAAAAACGAGAAGACCCAGCCACCAGACCCCAGAGGGCCATGCGCATACCAGTAGACCTGTGTGTTTGCATTCTAAAAGAAGACTATGTTCTCTTCAAATCTTAAATTGATGTATTCTAAGTCCTCTTAGGTTGTCTAAGTCCTCTTGGGTTAATAGGGAGTCTAGGAGTCTTTCTGCTTTATCTGGTTCTTCTCTGTTGCCTCAGAGCAATTTAGTTTCCATGATTTTCCTAAGTTCAACCTCACTTTCTTTGTCCTCAAAGAGACTGGATTGTATCTCAGACATGCACCTCCAGGCTTCTCTCCTTTAAGGACTCAACTTTTAGAATATCCTTGGATTATTGGGGTGTCATGAGAGGGCCCTAGGCGTTAGCAGTGCCCTCTGTAATACACCATGAATTGGAACATTTACCCCAGGCTCTGAACAGTGGAGATTTAGGAAGAGGCAATTATACTTGGACACCAGTGCATATATTAGCCATTCCAGGTCTGCAACAAGGATGCCAAGAACCTGTGTATCCCCATCTCTGAGGTCACCTCTCCCTTTAGGAGGACTTGGTAGAGAAGGCTGTGAGAACAAAACATGGGAAGTAGGTGAGTCAGATTTCTGCCTGGATTGGAGACAATAGGACCACAGTTTCGATTTTGGCCGTGCATCTGATGATAGGCTTCAGAAGTCTTGTCAAGTGATGTTTGAGGAGGAAGCATGACCCACTAAATGCTTTTTCCAATCATAAGGACCACCCCTCCCACCTGGAAATGTATAGACTGGAGTTAGAGAAAGGTTGAGAGCCACTGAGCCAAATGGGAAGATAGCCAGAGATGGAGCTTGCTCGGTACAGCAGGAAGGACCTTCCATTCTTCCTCCAGAGGCCCAGATTCCCTGCCTGGATCGACTCCTGCTGTCTGAGACTTGATCCCTGGTCTGATGGTGGTATCTCACCCTGAAGGACTCCTACAGTGTCCTTCAGGTCTGGCGTCCCCCTCCTTGGTCCTCTACTCCTCTCTCCCACAAGCAGAAGGAAGGGCTGGGAGATCATACTGTTGGTGTCAGAGGCTCCAAGTGCCCACAAGGCCAGAGGAAACAGCCAGGAGGGGAGGTCATAACCTATAGGAATCATATAATTGTAGTTACAGGAACAAGTAGGAATATATGTGCTAGCTACATCCATCAATAGGACGTCACCTGAAGTAAACCCACACCAGCATGAAGTCCTGAGGGATAGTGAGCTCATTAAGCATCTGCTGACTTCAGGATTTCACCCTGGAGCTGCAAAGAGACAGTTAACAATTCCAGCTGGCAAACATTTGTATGGCACTTAACTGTGTGCAAAATACTCTTCTAAGCACATTACAATATTAGCTCATTTAATTCATAATAATCTTTTGGGGCAGGTCCTTTTATCTCTGTTTTATAGATGAGGAAATTGAGGCACAGAGATTTGCCTAAGACCATACAGTTTGTAAGTAGCAGAGTCAGGATTTGAACCCAGGTAATCCTGGCTCTGGAGTTCCTTCTCTGAATTACTGGAAATAGCAATGCCACCCTTTGAAGGCATACTACTGATCCTGTCAGTTAAACCATATTGCCTCTGTTATTCTCTGTTCATCAAAATGGAAAAAAATACATTTGCCAGATCAATAGCTTATTTCCAAGTATCAGGAAGGAGATTACATCTGTAAAAGCTCTTGTCATTGACCCACTACTTGATTAAGCCTGTGATAGATGCAGTTATTCTCCAAGAAACATTAACCTTCTATATCATACTGGAGAGGTGAGGAGAGATGAGATAGGTATCAGGATGCAGCAGGTTTTAAGTCTTTATGACCTTGATTCTCATTCTTCCTGGGTGCAGTTTTGCTTTTGATTTACTTTATTTATTGGGAAGGTTTCCTCTAGTGACATTTACTCTGTAAACATTTGAGGGTTCACTATATAGTAAACATGGCTTTAGGCTCTGGGAATGTCATAGTGAATTAAATAAATGGTTCTTGCCTTTAGGCAACTTACATTCTAGTTTGAAGAGACAAAGAACCTGTAAATATAACTAAGGTAGTTTCAGGTCCTGTAAGTATTTTGAAATAAACAAATGGGATCATGTGAGACTTGGCCAGGGGAAACAAGTGTGGGCATTCTGCTACTTGTTGAGATCAGGCCATTAAACACTTAGAATATTGAAATATTCTCAGAAAGGGCCCAATTTCCATTGGACCTGCCAAGATGCAAACATGGGTTAGAACTCCATTTATCAGTCAGTCACCACAAGCCCCTGCTCAGACTGACAAAACCCAGTGGTGTTCTGGGCTCCCGGGGATTGGAGCTGACCCAGGTAAATGGCTGCAGTTTCTTTGGGGAATGACTGAGAGAGAGCTTTATGGGGCAGATGTAATGTCATAGCAGGATTCTTCCTCAGTGGTACCAGCTATCCTATCATTTAAAGGAATTTGGATTTGTGAACTGGCTCAGATCAGGGAATTAGATGAAAAGTTAAGACTCCACAATGCAGATCAGGTTTCTAGTTTTCCAAACTTGAGAATTTCTCATTCTTCAAAGTATCCTGAGCAGCTTGCCTGTTGATTTAATTTCTGGAGTGCCAAGCCACAGACCATGATCTCTGCATGTCATACCCTCCCTTAGAGATCTGACTATGTGACTTTCTGCTTTATTTCTGGTGGTTAATTGCCATGACCTATGTTAGGCCACTTTGGGCTTCTCCTATTGCTCCATGCTTGTCCCTTAGTGCCCCAGGACTATAAGCCAGATACACTTTTAAACTTGAGATTATAATAGATTTTATTTTTTAGCCTGTTATAATGAATTACATGGATTTATTTTTGAGCATTGAACCAGCCTTGTATTCCTGTAATAAACTCCATTTGGTCATGGTGTACTATCCTTTCTTTAAAAAAAAAAAGTTCAACTTAAGTTTCCAAAGTCTTATTTACAACTTTTGTATTTATATTTATGAGAGTTATTGATCTGTTTCTCTCCTTCCAATGTCTGTCTGGTTTTGGTATCAGGTCAATTCTAGCTTTATAGCATTAGTTGGGAAACATTTCCTCCTCTTCCATTTTTTGGAAGAATTTACCTAAAATTGGAAAAGGTAGAGAGTCTTGCTCTATTATCCAGGCTGGAGTGTGGTGGTGTAATCACAGCTCACTGCAGTCTTGAACTCCTGGGATGAAGCTATCCTCCCTGTGCAGCCTCCCAAGTAGCTAGAACTATAGGTGTATGCCACCACACTTGGCTAAATTTTTATTTTTTAGAAACAGGGATCTTGCTATGTTGCCTAGGCAGGGGTATTATGTATGCCTTAAATGTTTGGTCGAGTCTACCAGTGAAGCCATCTGGGCTTGGAGATTTTGTGGGGGGGGTGTTTTTTTGTTTGTTTTTTGGTTTTTTTTTTTGAGTTGGAGTCTCACTCTGTCACCCAGACTGGAGTGTAGTGGCCGCTCCCAGCCACCG